GGTGAGCGCGCGGGGCGGCGGGGCCCGTGGTGGAGGGGCGACCTCCGCGCGCCAGGCTCGGGCTGCGGCCTCAACCCTGCGCGGGCGCGCGCGGGGACGGGCGGTGACCCGGCGAGGTGGGCGGGGCGCGGTTCAAGGGGCCGCGCACGTGGTCTCGGGGGCGCGCGGACCCTCGCGGGCGCCCGCCGCCTTCTCTGTGCCGAGGGGAGCAGGGCCTGCGGCCGGCTGTGCTCGCTGCCCAGCCCGGCTGTTTTATCTGGGGTTTGCAGCTGTGCGGAGACGCCAGGACTCCAGCGCTGGAGGCTGAAGGAGCCCGAAAACAGAAGTGGGACCCCATTCCGCATTTTACTGATGAAGAAACTGAGCCCACAGAGCTAAAGTGACATAGCCCAAGGTCGCCCAGGTAGGGGATAGCAAAGCCGGGCTTAGAACCTGGTGTCCTGGCCTGTGCTGTCCACACCGCAGCCGTTTGGTAGCTGAATGAATGACCCTGCCTGTGGCTTAGTTCCCTTTTAGAGATGCAAACTGATGGTGGTAGAGTAACTGCGTCCCCATTTGCCGATGGAGGAGCAGCCCTCCTAGAGCACCTGCAGACCAGCCTCCAGGACGGATGCCTCGAGCTAGGCGTCCCTTCTGTAGACACCCGAGCCCCTAGGCCGGCCGCCACGCCTCTGGCCGTAATTAAGAGCTCTGCTTAAGCTGCCTCAGGTGTGTGGGCCTCGGGTTCCCCCTGCCTGCAGGTGGCCAGGTGGGAGCCTGAGAAACTCACCCTGTGTGCTCTGAGCCCGGCTGCTAAAGAGGTCAGGGGTCCCGGGTTCAGGCTGGAGCTGGCCACCCTGATTCACGTATTGGCTTCCGGACAGGGCCTGGACGGGGCCCAGGGATAGATGGCCCTGCAGGGTGGGGTGGAGGTTGGTTCAGGCTTTGCAGGAAAACTGTGCTCTTTGGTGTTAGAGTGTCTGGAGTCCACTTGTTTGCTGTGTGTGTGAGAAAGCAGAGCCCTGGCCAGAGGCAGCTGTCCACTGGCCCTGATGGCAGGAGCAGGTGGTCAGCCCGGCACCCCTTCCCACAGTCCTCGCTGGCTGCCCCTGCCCCACTGCAGTTACCACACGAGAGACTCTTAGCTGCCGTGCCCTCGATCCAAGGCTGGCATTAATAACTGCATGAGAGTACCTTGTCTGAGGAGTTGGCTGTATACAGTTAAAAGCCCTTTTGTACATAGTTATCACACGAACCTCAGGAATAAGAATTACTACTACCCTTTTGCAGAAGGGGAAACTGAGGCTTGTGGGGTTAAGCAGCTCAGTTATGTGGCCTCAGTGCCTGTGAGCCCAGGCTTGGAACAGAGCTGGCCGTGTTGTCTGTGTTCTCTCTTCAGTTTTTGCCCAAGCTTTCTGTACTCACCTACACCCAGGTCTCCACCCTGCTGCCCAGAAAGTTGCTGTGCCGTCTCCATGAGCAACTTCCTGAGAAACCCGAAGAAGACAAAATGATCGCTTTTTTTTCTAAAGAAGCCGAAGCCGTGTGCTTAGGTCACATGCTTGTTTCTAACATCTTGGGCTGCTTTTCAGCTGCTTCCCTGAGTTTGGGACGCTGTTGAGTTAGGGACAAGAGAGCAATCGCTACTGGCCCTCAGCCCTCTGGTCCTTAGGGCTTCAGGCCTTGTACACCAAATGTTGGCCCTGCTTGGAGATGGATCACTGTCACTCCACTGTCACTGCCTCGTGAATGTCTGGGGAAAAGAACAATTTCAGGTCTATCCTTAGGAAAGCCCACGTCTTTTGTTTGTTTGGTAGCCTCTTTATTGAGATAGTAGGTTGCTGTTCATCTTTTCTAAAATTGTAACAGAGGAAGAAAAATTTAAAGGGTGCTCAATTTTCTGCTCTGCCTCAGCCAGAAACTTACTTTTTTTTTTAAATAATAAAAATCATATATGTTTATTCTAAAAATGCCAGGAAAAATTTAAAAAGCCATCTGTTAGCCCTCAGCTCATAGATAATCACTTTTTATTTCCCCCAGCCCTTGCTTTCCCGGCACATGCATATCTTTGTCCATTAACAGAAATGGGAGAGCTGTAGATGAAGCATCCTGGTGTTTTCTGCTAACGATAAGAGTTGCCCTCACTGAGTGTGCTGACGCGGTGGTTTGCTCTGAAGTGTCCCTGAAGGCCCTGGTGGGAAGGGCTTGTTCTGCAGAGCTGGGCCATTGGGGGTGGGGGTGGAAAGTTTTAAGAGGGCCAGTGGGAGGCCCCTTCCTCTTTGAGTCTTTCACTTTCACTTTCTGGCCATGAGGTGAGCAGTTTTGCTCACCACAGGCTGGTACTCTGATGTGTCACACACAGACACACAGTACCCTGCTGCTCATGCCTGGCCACATGTTGGCTCCTCCCTTCCCGTGTGCCACACAGACCTGCAGCACAGGGAGGGCAGGTGGGGGGCAGGAGAGACTTTGGGTGGCATGGACTGGGGGCTCGTAGACACTGCCTGCCCATGGCCTTGCAAACAGGAATGTGTGATGCGGTGACCTGCAGGACAGAGCCTGGCCACTGCCTGTGTGAGGCTCACAGGGCTGAGCAGGCAGGGACGGCTCCCCTGAGCAATTTGGAGACAAGACCTTTTGGTCACGGGACCTTCACAATAAAGGCCTCTGGGCTGCAGTTTTCTGGACTGTAAAATAGGGCGCTGACCAGGTGGCCTTTAAGGTCTTTGCTCACTTTGACCTTGTCTTGTGGCAATGCCCTGTCCTTAGAATGGTGGGATGGACCGGAGGGAAACAGGATCCCTCCCTGGGGCCCGGCCCGGCCCGGCCCAAGCTGGGTCCTGTGTCTGGTGGCTCCGCAGGCGCCGGCTTTCTAAGGGGCGTCAGTCAGCAGCCTCCATAACTCCCGCTCTCTTGACCTCCATTTATTGCACACGCACCGGGTGCCGGACACTACACAGTGTCTCTAGTTGCCACAGTCATTTTGCCATGTGCCTGTTCGGCTTTTCACTGAAGAGGAAATGGTCCCAGGCCAGGCCGTGCCACCAGAGAGTGTGTGGTTCAAGTCACACAAGGAGGTGACTTCAACCCTGCTAGTCTCCAGAGCCTTTGTTTTTAACCCCTTATTTAAAAATAAGAAACACTTTGGCTCCTGCATGGGGCTGGTGTGCTAGGGCTCCCTCTGCCTCTTTCTCCCCAAACTGCCTTTTTCCCAGGCTCCTTCAGGAGTTGCCCCAAGCCCAGGCTTCTGAGTAGGAAGGAGCCATGGAGCTTTACAAGCCTGGCCAAGGTGCCAAAGGCCCCATACCCGATCCCTGGGGCCTGTGGTTTGAGGAAGGCAGTGATACCTGTGGGACTGCCTGGGACTTGGGCATCATCGCCTCAGGCTGAGGTCACCGCCCGGGGCTGGGGAGAGCCATGCGCCAGTGCTGGGTCAGGGCCACCACAGGGGCTGAATGGATGGAGCCATGGCGGTCAGCGAGGGCCACGTACCTGATGGTGCGCAGGGCTGGGCGACAGGTGGCTCGGGAAGCTGTGGGATTTCTCAGGGTATCCCTGACCTCAGCAAGCCTTCCTTAGTTAGAGGAAGACTGTGGGACTGCTCAGGAGTTGTGGCAGCGCTGGGGAGTAGCCATGACCGTGACCATGGATGTGACCTGCTGAAAACCACCGCCACCCTCTGTGGAAGCTGGGCTACACTGCTCAGTTGGCCCTGCTGTGAGAAAGCAAATCGGTGTCCCAGTCTCAGACGTTTCTCTGCAGCTCCAAGTGTTTGTGGCAAAAGCAGTCATTCACTTCCAGTTTGCTTTCGGACCAGCATTTCCCAGGAGGCACTGGGGTTTGCTGTAGCATTTTAAATCCATTTCCTACCCAGCTCAGCTGGCCTTCAGTGTCAAGGTCAAACCTTTGCTTTCCTCTGCGGTGAAGGAAGGTCGAGGAAATGGGGTCACCAGGTCTCTAATAATGGCGGGAACTGCTGACGCCAGCGGGCTGGGGAACTTCTCAGGGTCCCAGTCCCAGGGCCGGCCCACCAGTGTTTTTCCATCCCATTCAGCTATGTGAGGGCAGGCAGAGGTTCTCTGAATGTTTGTGCTTCCTAGTCGGAGGCAGCCTTCAGCCAGCTGCGTTGTGCTGTCCCTGTCAACCCCTCTGTGTCTCCCTCAGGGGAGGAGGGTGGCATGGGAGAGCTGGCTGCCGCTGCTGACAGGATTCATTCCACATCAGCCTGAGAGGCGCCCGGCCCCGCCCCACCTGCTGGCTTGGGCTCCAGCGGGAGACCTTTGCGTCACCGGGCCTGGGATGTGGACACACATCCAGCAGGGTTGTTTACTGCACACATTTGGCTGGTGATTTTTTCCCTCGAGGATTTCAGCGCCATCGAGCTTCAGTAGCGACTGAGAAGCCTTGCAGAGCCTGGTCTTAGGAATTCTAAAGGGAAGCTAACGGATCTGTCCCAGCGCCCTTCTGGAGCCTGGTAAATGGCAGGGGCTGGGGAGGAAATGTCAGAGTGGCTGGAGGACATCCACTTGTCCCCCAGTCCAACGGGGCATTCAGGGAAAAAAAGTCAGGGGTAGAAGAAAACCGAGAGTTGATATTCAGATTTTCCCTTTAAGAATTAGTAGCTTTAAAAAAAACTGAACATGCAATCCATCTTTAGTATAAAATCATTGAGAAATGCTGAAAAGTACAAAGTAAAAATCGTCTGCAGGCCTCCCAATCCAAAGATAACCACCTTTAATATTTTGTAGTATTTCTTGCAACTCTTTTGTGTACATACATTTAAAAAAAAATTCAGATGATTATGTGAAGTTTTATATTCTGTTAAACTTAACACTGTGGGTTTTTTAATCTTGTTAAATACTATTTGAAATAATTTGTGGTCCCTATCAGATGGATGTACCAGGGCCTCCATTTGACTGAGCAAGGTGCATCCCCAGACCCTGGAGGGTGCCTGGCCATGGAAAACACAAACCTCATATGTAGTGTGCTTTTCCCTGCATGTCCATGTCCATTTATTGTTTAATAATAAAATAGAACAGGGCTGGGGATTTAGCTCAATGGTTCCACCGCCTGCCTTGCAAGTTCAAGGTCCCGAGTTCAATCCCTGGTACCAAAAATAAAATAAAATAGAACAATTACAACAATACACCGCAACAAATGATGCTTTATTACAGTACGCTTCTTTCTGGAATTTTCCACTGAATACTTCTGGCCTGCACTTGACCACAGGTACCCAAAAATGGCAGGAAGCGAGACTGCAGAGAAAGGACGATTCCTTCTTGTCCTGTAGGGTTAAACATCTCAGCCATTTCCATGTTTCTTTCACAGTTGTTTGGGAATGGCAACACACATTTTTGCATGAATCTGTTACTGTTTTCTAGGACAGATCCTGAGAAGTAGCATTTTGGGATCAGAAGGGATGACTGGCTTCAGGTTTTGATTTTGTGCTTTCAGTCAGGTCCTCTACCTGCTTCATCATAGCGGGCATTGTTTGGGGACTTTTTTTTAGCTCAAGAGCCTTGCTACTCAGAATCTTCACCTCTTCCTCCTCCTCAGCTGCCATCTGAGCTGAGTGCTCAGGGGAGAGGGCTGTTCATCCTTTCACTCCCCTCTCCAGCAGCCTCGGGGTGCCTGGCTCCGGGGTGCCTGGCAATGGAGCATTGAGGATGTCTTGCCTCAGAGCAAGGGTGCGGCCTGGGCGGCCCCACACAGCAGAATCCTTAGGGACCTTGTCAAATGCAGATCCTGGAGCTCAGGGATCTGCATTCTGTTTTTTGTTTTGGTTTTTTTGGAGACAGGGTCTTGCTAAGTAGTTCAGGGGCTGGCCTTGAACTCTCCCCGGGGGCGATCCTCCTGCCTCAGCCTCCTGGGTCCTGGGATTACAGGTGTACATCACCATGCCCAGCCCTCTGCATTTTTAATACACAACCTAGGGCTGGGGATTTAGCTCTGATTCCGCTGCCTGCCCTGCAAGCATAAGGACCTGAGTTCAATCCCTGGCAACAAAGAAAAAAAAAAAATACACGCGCACACACACACACACACACACACACACACACACACAACCTAGCATAGTGTTCAGGAGCTGGAAAAGGAATATCTAGGCCCAAGGGTAACCTCAAATTGGTTACTTCTATTTTTTGCAGTGCTGAGGATGGAACCCGTGTACCCAAGGCCCTGAGTTGGGTCCTCAGCACCACCACCAAAAAAAGTTTGATTTCTTTTTAAACCTTTGTTTCCGCATCTGTAAAACAAGAGAACAGTCGCACGCGGCTGAAGTTCTTGTGCTCGGTGCCTGCTAAGGACTCCACAGGTGGTGCCCACCATAGCCCCTCAGTGCCCAACCCCGGGGAAGACCGTGACCCTGAGGGACCCCGTGTTTCCCACACTGGGAACTCAGCGAGGTCCTCCCTCCTGTCGCCCCATGCCCAGCAGGCTGGCGGGCTGCAATCCCGTGGTGCCCTTGCCCTCCTGCCCTCCCTGTCCTGGCCCCAGCTGGGAGGCTTTTGGGTTCTTCAGGAGTGGGAAGGAGGAGTCTGCCCGGGCAGCAGGGTGTTTCTGGTGAGGAAGCCATGTGTGTGAGTCCTGCTTCGTGGGTGATGGGCGGATCTGTGGGATTCCTAGTGTTCCTGCCCCAAGGGCTGTCAGGTCCTGAGTGCAGGCTCGTGTAACGGGCCAGTGAGGGTGAATGACAGTGGCAGTGGTCACCGATGACCAGTGCCGTGTCGCCCTCCCGTGCGTCCTTCACCGCTGGCAGGGAAACTGAGGCAGGAGTGCTTTCTGGGAAGCGTCTTGTTAGCTGTTGCTGCTGAATGGGGACACGGTCCCAGGTGCCCTGCCGTTCTGTGCCCACTGTCCTTCGTGTTTGGGCCTCGGTCCTTCCTGTTAGCGGCCTTGCTCTCTGTTTATCCACTTCTCTGGGAAGTTGCTACGTGGGAGTCTAGAAGGGGCTGCCTCTGATGGGGACACTGTAGTCCTTCAGGTTTGAAGGGCGAACTTGACCGTCCTGGGGTGGGGTGGGGCTGCAGTCCGTGAGACTTCAGATACGAGGACCCAGATCTGCCCCACCCCGTCCAGTGACCCCAGAGATAAATCACAGGCACCCAGAGGCGTGGGGAGCACAGGAGGGAGATGGACACCGATGAACTTACACCCAGAACAAACAGCACTGCGGGCTAATGAGAGGCAGAAACTGCCGTGGCTTCATACCCTATCTACGGTGCTCTTCCAAATGGGATTACAATTTAGCTTGAAAGAATTGCAGCCCCCTTTTATTTTGTGGTGATGGGGAACAACCTAGAGCCTTGCTTGGGCTAAGCAAGTACTGTTCACAGCTCCCCCTCTGGCCCTGGTCACTGTCTTCGTAGGAGCTGGTGACCAGGTGCTCATTTAGGATGCGTTCACAGAGGCCAGGCCTCTGACACTGCCTCTCCTGGACCCCGGCCTGCTGCTTCCTCTCATTTGCAGAGGAGGGACCTGAGGCTAAGAGCTTCCTGGGTCTCACGGCAAGCCATGTGCCCTCACCCTGGGCTCTGGTGAGTAGGCTGCTCGTTCCCAGCCTCCTGTGGCCCTGGGCTGAGCCTGGTCTTGGGGAGTCCAAGTGAAAGGGTGAGGGGCGCCCACATTTTCCCAGGGAGTGGCTGTCACTGTTGTGACACAGTGCACTTCTTCCACAGCCTCCTGCGGGAAACCGGGGCGCCCTCTCTGCTCAGCTAAGCACCTGCTCCTCCACGAGGCCCCAGCCCCTCCCGGGGATGTTCCACACCAGATTGCTCACCATTGTCGGGATAGGCCCCGTATGTTCCCATCTCATTCGCTAGCCTCAGTGGTTACCTCTTTCCAGGATGACCCACCTCCTTCAGATGTTAGCATTTGCTTGGTAAATGTTCCTAACATTTGAGGCCACTTCCTGTCCTTGAGATGGAGCATCCAGTCCTCCTGGCTGGCAGATCCTCTCCTCTAACCTCCAGAGGTGTCTGGTCCCTCAAACCCACTTCCTGGTGCCCATCTTACTTTGCTCGGCATTGTTCTTACTCCTGTCTGAGGCCCTTTGTGGAAGGTTCATAGGCTGAGGAGCTGACTCATTTGGAAATCCAGCGCCTTTTGCTTTGGGGCAGTGGCTTTCACTGTGGGATAGAGTTAAAGTCCCTAGAAATAACCCAGGCCAGCCAGGGTAGCTCTCTCCAAAAAGAGTGGCAGCCATGGTCTTCCCCCAGAAACTTGCGTCTCCTTTTCCCCCGTCTTAGTCCAGCATGGCTGCCACCCTAGGTGTCGTTTTACACCCACATCAGGTGCCCTGCTCACCCGTGGATCTGTTCCACTGCTTTGCAGTCAGTGGCCAAAATGAGCCCTGCAACCACAGATCGCTCAGGCGTCCTTGAGATGACGTAGGCCACCTCAGTGTTGCACGTGGGACCCTCCACCCCTCTGCAGCCCTGGCCCAGCCTCTGCCCTCTGCCCATCTCCAGCAAATGTCACCTTCTCGGGGAACAGCCCTACTCCCTGAGATTGTGTTTCTGTGCCTGTTGACCAACACCTGGGCTACCTTACCTGTCACAGGGATGCTGCTTCATCTTTAACAGGACGGGGGCATTCCTTACTCACCTTTCTCTCCCTCGAGCCTAGCGCGGTCTCTGACACACAGTAATCCCTCCATAGATATTTGTGGATGAGTGAGTGAACATGCTGACACGTGCCGACAGTTCAGGGTGGCTCTGACTTTTCTGGTTGGATGGCACAAGTCTCAGGCTACCCCAGCCTCCAGGGTAGCTCATAGGGACCCCTGCTTTACAGCAGGCCTTTGATGCCTGTGCCTCTGAAGCTTGCGGAGGCAGGACCTGTGTCCGGGTCTTCAAGCTCTTTGCAGCCCTCCCTGGCCTTCCCTGGACAGCAGCAGGGTCCCTGTGCTCCTTTGCAGGTACGCCGCCTCCCGAGCAAGGTCATGCTCACGTTCATGGCCTCTGACAGCGAGGAAGAAGTGTGCGATGAGCGGACATCCCTGATGTCAGCCGAGAGCCCCTTACCGCGCTCCTGCCAGGAGGGCCAGCAGGGCGAGGAGGACGGGGACAGCGCTGCCCAGTGGGTAGGTGGCACCTGCGGGCGGGCTGTGCTCTGAGTGCGGCTCAGGTTGGCTCTCCCTGTCCCCATAGGCCCGTGTGTCTGGAGGTGGTAGAGCCTTTATGGGATCGGCCCAGAGGGGTCTGCAGGTCCCTGGGGGTCTCTTGAAGGGGACATGGGGCCCTACCCTTTCCTCTCCCCTTTCATGACCTGGCTGCACAGTCCTGGAGCAGTAGGGCCCGTCGGTCATGAAGTGGCCCCTCCAAAACTATAGCTAGAAATAAGCTCTTTCCCTGGGTCAGTTGATTTACCTCAGGTGTTTGCCACCTGATGGGAGCCACTGCGTGGATGAAAACCGGACCTTCTCTGACGGGGGAGGAAAAGGGGCTCAGCAAAGGGTTGGACCATCCTCCGGGCAGGTCTTCCACCCTCGAGGGCTTTCTGAGTAGACTGCCCATGAGTCAAGTCCGCTCTGCAGTGAGCCCAGCCTCAGGTTTACCTTTCTAGTTAGTGCCAGCCAGTTTCCATGGTGATACGAGTGCCCGTGGATGCCTGGATGCTGGGATAGGTGAAACGGGCACTGTAGGGTGACAGGAGGAAAAGCTAGCGGAAGGGAAAGGCATGCGGGTGGCTGGCCAGGCACATGTGCCCAGGAGGAGAGCCAGTCAGCGGTGCCATCTCCCTCCCTGTCGGTCAGCACAGCATCCGAATCTTCCTGCTCCCTGTCTCCGCTTTGCTTGTTACAGTAGTTAGAAAACTCCGTGTGGACTCCCTCTTTGGCTAGCCTTCATCCCTGTTGCTGAAATCTGAATTCATTTTTCTACATTCTCCATGAGCAGAGCCTGCTGTCCGCTGAGTCCCCGTGAAACCCCACTAGTTCAAGGTCACTGCCCAGCCCTTTCTTGCTCCTGTCTTCTTTTATCTCCAGGAGTGCTCGTGCATTTTGTTATTTTGGTTCCTGCCCATTAACTTTCTCAGCTGACCCCTAGCCTGGAACTGTCTCGGCAAAGAACCCGTACTGAAGCAGTGGCTTTTAAAAAATCTTCATTTCATTTGGCTGCTAACAAGGCACCCAGTGACCCTGAGTTGCCAGGGTTCCAAAGCGAGTCCCTGCAGCAGCACAGCTCCCGACAGCCCGCGTATGCCTCACTGCTGTCCTCCCTCCCGTGCTGCTCCCTCGCCCCCTGGTGCTTTCCTGCCCGCACACAGCTGGGTGCTCCTGATGCCTGGTGCCCACTCAGCCTCGAGTTCAGAGCTACAAATTTACTTGCTTCATTTCAGGAGGCAGAAAGTTCAAAGTAATTTCTCCTGCTGCCAGTTCCCAAGTCTTATTTACAGTCTGGGAGAATGCCCTGTGTTCGGTTAGTGGGTTGTCAACTGAAGGTTTGGTCTGTTGTCCTCCTACCACCGACCCAGCTGTCCCTCCCAGCTCAGGAAGCTATGTGAACAGAACTGAGTGGAACCTGTGTCCCTGCTCTTAGGAGGGAGAAAGGTCCTTTGATGTCCTCCAGATCCGTGAGAGTCGTGGGCCTGAGATGCGCCCGCCTTCTCCTCCCTTTGTAGTGACTGGACTCTGCATCTTGCCCTCCTAAGCTTTCCCTAGGTCCTAAAATGCCAGTATCTCCCGATCCACACTACAGCTTGGACAGTGGTTCTTAGCTCTAGCAAGCAGCAGCTCCCTTCTGGTTTCCCGGATCGGTGCGCTGCCCGGTAGATGGCCGTGGGCCTGGCTGTGGCCCTTACCACGTGGTTTCCCACAGAGGAGCCAGGAGAGTGAGGAAGACTGCGAGGACGACCCTGACCGCTACATCTGCAGTGGGGTGCCCGGGCGGCCCCCAGGCCTGGAGGAGGAGCTGACCCTGAAGTACGGGGCGAAGCACGTGATCATGCTGTTTGTGCCCGTCACGCTGTGCATGGTCGTGGTGGTGGCCACCATCAAGTCCGTGCGCTTCTACACGGAGAAGAACGGGCAGCTGTGAGTGGGGGGCCTGGGCAACCGGGTGGGGGGCGGGGGAACGGGCCTGGGGGGCGGCAGCCTCCGCCACAACACCTGCAGCTGCAGCTCCCGACAGGGACAAAGGGAGGCCCGGCGTCTCGCCCTGACCCTGCCTCCTGGCTGTGCGGCTTGCCTGAGCTTACGGCTTCCTGAGCTTACGGGGCTCCACTGGGTGGGGAGTCCTAGGCATGGTGGCCGATGGAGAAGTGGGCGTGGGGCGCCGCCCAGCCGGTAGGGCCCATGAGAAGCAGAGTGGGCAGAGAGGTGCCCGGGTGGGAGAGGTTAACGCAGGTGGGAAGGGGAGGCCTTGAGAGTCCTTCCAGTCTGTGCCCCACAGGCTGTGAGCCACGTCCTGGCCAGGGCAGGACCAGAAGCCTGGGCCGCTCACGGGATGGTGCTGTGCGTCACCAGGCCCAGCCAGCGCCAGAGCCGGGCCAGGTCCGGGGGGGGGGGGGGGCGCGCCAGGGGGCGCCAAGATGGGACTGAGGGTCCCTCGGGGAAGGGTGTTTCGGAGCTGCAGGCCCTGTGACCCCTCTCTGGACCTTCTCAGCATCTACACGCCCTTCACCGAGGACACGCCCTCTGTGGGCCAGCGCCTCCTCAACTCCTTGCTGAACACGCTCATCATGATCAGCGTCATCGTGGTCATGACCATCTTCCTGGTGGTGCTGTACAAGTACCGCTGCTACAAGGTGCGGCTGCAGCCCTCGCCTGCCTCTCCTTCCTCCGTGTGGCGCTCGCCAGGGCCCCTGCCTAGAAGCAGTGCCTCAGAAAAAACTAGTGGGGTTGTCTGCAAAATAGGCGGAGTTGGGTACTTATTCTCACCCTCCTCTGCCCCCGGGGTGGACAGCCTAATGCTGTGTCTCCAGCCTGCCTCTTGGCCCCATGTCCTAGCCGCCCATTGCTATGTTCCACACGTCGCTTGTCCCAGGGAGAGGTTGCCTTAATTTGACTTCTTCTGGGTTCTATCTCAGGCTCCCTTCACCTCAGTTCTTCCCCTCCAGGTTGGTTTTTAGTTTTCCCTTCCCCGTCTGGACAGGGCTGTTCAGATGCTGTGCTGAGATCTCCCTGCCTGGGGGTGTTGGGTCGGCCTTGCCCCCAGCTGCCCAGGGAGCAGTGGAGGAGCTGAGGCTGGGTCATGGGCATCATCTGTCCCCGAAGACGCCCCCAGCTTATGGAGAGTGGCCCCGGGCTGAAGGCTTTGAAACCCTGAGGACTGAAGGAAGTGAAGCCAGGTGCTTCCTACTGGCAGTGCTCAGCAGTGTGGCGCAGGGCTGTTTGTCTGGGTAGCTGCTGTTCGTGAGCAGGGAGAAGGCAGAGTTCCAGACCAGGGGTTGCAGGGAGGGAGTAGGCCATGCGTTCCCTGAGTGAGGCCGGGCTTCAGTGTGGAAGGGACAGGGAGGCAAGGGAGGCGCAGGGAGCAAGGCAGCTTGTCTGAAGCAGGAGGTTCACACTTGCAGACAGCTAGAAATAGCTCGGGGATGGCGGAGCTGGCCCTGCCCTGCCCTGGTCGGCAGGGGTCAGGTGGCTGGTCCAGCCTCTCGGGGAAGGCTCACTGGGAGAGTCTGTGACACAGGTGGGGCCTGACAGTGGCCCCTTGGGGCAGGGTGGGCAGGGTGAGGAAGGGGAGCACTGTCCAGCTGCAGTGGAGCCCCTTCCCCTCTGCTGCCCAGCCTCAGTGGCCACTTTTGCTCCAGGGACCGAGTCCCGGCTGGCGTCCCGGTGCCCAAGCTGGAGACTGGTGGGTCAGTCCTCAGAGGGGTCAGCACACTGCCCCAGGAGGCTGGCCAGCAGCCCACCCTTGACCTTGACCCATCCATGCTTGGCCAGGGAGGGGGACAGGTCTTTCTGTAGACCCTTGGGTGGGAGGGGACTTCCTGAGTAGTCTCTATGAGATGCAGCCCTCGGGAGGCCTGTCCTGACCGCTCACTCTGAAGTAGCACCTCAGTGAGTTGTCCTGCCACATCACCACCTGCTGGGGCATTGTCTGTTTCCCCCCCCGGAACTGCTCCTGGCAGACCCTTTGCTAACTCTCTCTCCAGAGCCTTGAATGGACGAACTAGCAAATCACTGGTGCTGCACTGTTGCTGCTGGCCCCTAGGAGCTACCCTGAGCACTAAGTGAACGGGCTGGGGGGCAGGGCACAAGGCCAGGGTCAGGAGCCCTGCAGGGGTCTCGATGCTTTCAGACCATTGCGGGGGCCGGGGGGAGAGAGCCCCTCGAGTGTCTGGGTCCTCCTTATCTGTAAGTGGCCACCCGACGCCTCTCCTGTGGTCAGAAGACACTCAGGCTGGAGCCGCAGTCCTGGGGCCTGGGGCCTGGTGACAGCCTCCTGTTTCTGTTGTCCAGTTCATCCACGGCTGGCTGATCATGTCCTCCCTGATGTTGCTGTTCCTGTTCACCTACATCTACCTCGGGTGAGTGGTGCCTGAGACCATCAGGGTCTCTGGGCCCCTCTCCTGTGAGTGGCTATGAGGGACCTCGGCAGGGAAGGGCGGCCACTGAGCCCAGTGTCAGCTGCTCCCAGAGCCCAGGCCTCCAGGCCCCCTGCACCGGTCCTTGAGACGGGTTGGGGCGGGCGGTCTGAAGTGGGCCACGCATCTGTCCTGGCCCCTGATGTGAAACTCAGCGCCACCGTGGAAGACACTGTCTGTGGACCCTGAGCACGGGGTGTTGGGGGTATGGAACCCGCTCTCAAATCACACTGCCTTCTCGGGCCAGGCCTGGGAACATCCTGGCTTGTGGGGAAAACTCCTGCCCTATTGCCTTTTCATTTGGGATCTCATCCTGGGCCAGGAGCCCGAAGAGGCTGGAGGGGCAGGAGGGAAACTGCCGAGGACTTTCCCCTGGGCACAGAGTCTTGCAGGAGGCCCTGGGGCAGTTGCAGTGAACCTCCCCAGCATGCACCTTCGGTTTACCCCCCACCTGGTTTTAGAAAACATTTCCAGTGGCATTGTAGGCGCACAAAAAGGGGCCACAGGCAGAGACTGATTGGAAAACTTGGGTTGGGATTCACAGCTAAAAAGCAGAGGCTGCGAAACAGTTCGGGCTGGGACATTCCCACTGACCTCCCACGCCTCCGCCTCGGCCCACAGGGAAGTGCTCAAGACCTACAACGTGGCCATGGACTACCCCACGCTCTTCCTGACTGTGTGGAACTTCGGGGCAGTGGGCATGGTGTGCATCCACTGGAAGGGCCCCCTGGTGCTGCAGCAGGCCTACCTCATCATGATCAGTGCCCTCATGGCCCTGGTGTTCATCAAGTACCTCCCGGAGTGGTCCGCGTGGGTCATCCTGGGCGCCATCTCCGTGTATGGTAGGCGGGGTGGGGCGGGGTGCAGGACTGAGTTATGGTCACTGCCCTGCAGCACAGAGGCCGGGACCTCCCATCCTGAGGAGGCCTCTGGGAGACTCCCTTTCGTGAAACCGGCCCTGTGGACTTCGCGGTGTAGAAGGAAACCGTAGTCAGGCGTGATCACTGTCAGGCTGCTGAGTGTGTGCACTGGTGAGTGCCGGGCACAGTGAGCTGTGTGTCACTCAGTGCAGCCCACGGTGACTGGGTCTGATGCCCACAAACAACCTGCAATGTTAGCTACTGTTTAGCTCCCGTTAGCACCACTGTCAGTATTGCTACCCCGTTTCAAGGATAAGCACTTCAGGCTCCTTTGGCTCCCAAGCACTTCCTGTTGGCTGCTGCAGCGTGGGTCCCACTCTGGGCTCCCGCAGTGCACACTGTACACTGTGGCCGGAAACAGCCCAGCATCTGGGCACATGCTGAGAGCTGCAGCTGGGGCTCCTGGCGATAGCGGGCTGGCTCCCCGCTCCAGGGCTGCTCAGGAACAAATGTCTTTTTTGACACACAAAGATGCCTCTGTTTGCCCAGATCTCGTGGCTGTGCTGTGTCCCAAAGGGCCGCTGAGGATGCTGGTGGAGACCGCCCAGGAGAGGAACGAGCCCATCTTTCCCGCCCTCATATACTCCTGTGAGTGGCCGGTGCCTCTGCCTGGCTGTGGGGTCAGCCGTGCCTGGGTGGGGGCGAGGAGCCGGCAGTGGCTTTCAGAGCTAACAGGGGGCGCTGACTCTTTCCCCGGCCAAAGGAAGAGCCAGCCTGGTGCCCCCAGGGTAGTGCACCTTCCATACCCACGGTGAGCTGTGCCCAGCCATCACAGAGGGAGCCGGCAAGGTCAGAGGGGCGGTGACATGGGAGGGCGCAGGGCAGCCCCGCGACTGCTCCTCGTCCTGTCCAGTGGCCTGCAGTGGGTGCAGACCTCATCTCCAGAGCCACGGCCTTCGGAGTCCTCGGCCAGCCCTGCTCTGACCGGGCTCTGAAGGTGACCTGGGAAAGGGACTTCGCAGGGTGGGTGGTGGTCTTGCTGTCGGGCCACTCTGAGCCTGCTCCAGGAGTCCTGTTCTCAAAGCTCAGCACGGTTGGGTTGGGCTGAGAGGCAGGCGGGCCGTGGAAGTGTCACGTGTAACACGGGGACTCTCCGCACACTCATGTTCACAGCGGCAGGAGGTGGAAGCAGCCCACAGAGCATTCCGCCTGGGGGACAAAGGAAGTTCTTTTTTTACATTTTTTTTAATGGACTCATTTGTACATCTTTCTCAGGTTCATTATGGTAATTCAATGCATATATAAAACGTGTTGTAATCAAATCAGGGCATTTCCATCCCTTCAAATGTAGTCATTTTCATGTGTTTGGAACTTCGTAATCTTCTAGTCATTTTGAAGTACATCTCGATTGTTTTGACCGATGGTTACCCTGCTGGGCCAAAGAAGAACCAGGAGGAATTCCTCCACTCTCCTATGCGTCCCTGTCCCTTGTTGGATGTCTTTCCATCCCTTCCCCTGGCCTTTCCAGCCTCCAGTGATCCCTGTTCTATCCTCTTTTCTGTAAGTGACTTGCTGGTGCTCACACATGCATGAGAGCGCATGGTGTCTGTCTGCTTTTTTGGTACCGGGGATCAAACTCGGGATCTCGTGCTTGCAAGGCAGGTGCCGGAACCACTGAGCTAAATCCCCGGCTGCATCTTCTGCATCTGGCTTGTTTCACCCACGGCCTCCGTTTCCACCCATGTTGCTGCACGTGGCAGGATTTCTTTTTATGGCTGAATACTGTTCCACTGTGTGCATCCACCACATTCTTTATCCTGAAGGGCGCCTGGGTTGATGCCGTGTCCTGGCTACTTTGAATAGTGCCGTAATAACCGTAGGAGTGCAGATAACCCTGAGTTATGATGATCACATCTCTGGATATAGACTCAGTGTGGGATTGCTGGATCTTGTGGTAGCTCTGCTTTAGTCTTTTTTTTTGGTACTGGGGATCAAACTCAGGACCTTGCGCTTTTGAGCCAGGTGCGGTGCCACTGAGCTAAATCCCTGGCCCATGCTTTAGTTTTTCAGGAGTCTCCATCCAGTTTCCCCACAGTGGCTGTACTCATGGTATTCCCACCGTAAGTGACCAGCGTTCACTGAGTTTGTCCTCTTGGTGGTGGTCATGCTTTCTGTGGTAGGTGACACCCGCGTGGTGGTTTTGAGTTGCATTTCCCTGATGATGAGTGAAACCAGCCGTATCTTCAGGTACTCGTTGGCCATTCATGTGTCTTCTTTGGAGAAACACCACATGGTTCTTTCATCCATTTTTCAATTGGATTGTTTGCTTCTTTGGTGTTCAACTTCTTCAGTTCCTTATATATCCTGTTTATCAATCCTTTGTACAATGGTCTGCTAACATTTTCTCCTATTCTGTAAGTTGTCTCCTAATTCTTCCGCTTGTTTCCCTTGCAGGGCAGAAGCTCCTTAGTTTGTTAAATCCATTTGTCTATTCCTGTTTTTGTTGCCTGTGCCTTTAGAGTCCCGCCCAAAGGTCACTGGCTTATGCAGTGCCTAGCAGTATTGTCCTTGTGTTTTCTTGTAGTAATTTCATGGTTTCAGGTTTTTCACTTAGGTCTGTGATCCACTTTGAGTTGATTTTTGCGTATAGTTTGGGGCAGCGCCAGCTTTATTCCTCTCCATGACGCCAGCACCCCTTATTGGAGAGACTCGTTTCTCTGCTGTGTGCTCGTGGGCCCTCTGTCAGAGACCTGTGTCTCTCTGAAGGCAGATTCCTTCCTTGCTCGCTCTTCTGCTCTGCTGGTGTGTGTCGATCTCATGCCGTTACCATCCTATTTACTATGGCTTTGTAGTGTGTTTTGAAGTCAGGTATTGTGGTGTTGCTGGCATTTTTTAAAACTCAGGATGTTTGGCTAGTCTCGGTCTCTTGTGATCCCTTATGAATTTTAGGAGTTTTTTCTATCTTTTTTTGGATACAGATTTGCTACCTTTAATGGGTACTGAGTTTCAGTTTTGCAGGATGGAAAAGTGTGATCTTTACATGGCAGTGTGCATACACCGAGTACTAGTGAACTGCACACTTAAAAATGGTTCAAATGGCTGGGCTTGGTGGTAACATGGCTATAATTGCAGCTGCTGCTGAGGCAGGCAGGAGGATTGCAGTTCTACCTTGGGCAATTTACCGGGACCTCATCTCAAAAATAAAATAAAATAAAAAGGGCCATGTGTGTAGCTCAGCACTCCCTGGGTTCAATCCCCTGTACCACAAAACAAAGCAGAACAAAAATGGATAAGGTGGTACCTTGTGTGTGTTTTTAACCAGAATTTTTGAATCACCATTTTTTCACCAAACGGCTCACTCTTATTATCATCATCTGCTGTACTGATTTATGAGGAGGGTAAAAAAAGAATGGTGCTGTCTGCCTCTGCCCGGACCCCTCCTGCAGCGGCCCCTAGGATGGACCGTGAACCAGTACCACGGGTGGGGTCCCACGGGCAGCTCCAAGTGTCACCCCGTCTCCTTCCCCAGCCGCCATGGTGTGGACAGTGGGCATGGCAAAGCTGGACCCGCCCTCGCAGGGAGCCCTGCAGCTCCCCTACGACCCGGAGATGGGTGAGTATCGGGGTGACAGCCTGTCATCACCGGGGTCACCTTCCCCCTGCACCCCGCTTGCCCTGGTCTCTCTGAGAGGCAGAGGCTGTGTTCCCTGAAAGCCAGCCCTCCTAGGAACTGGTGTGGACCGGGCGAGGCTGACAGTCCCCCTGCCCTGGCCTGGTTCATCTCTGCCTGGGGTCTGGTGGCTGGGGACCGGGGTTGCCTTGGGGTCTGGCAGCCATGCTGGGTGGGAGCCTCCCTGTTCCCGGGGAGCCCTCTGAACAGCTTCTGTCTCTCCCTCGCCCCCTCCTCGCGGTGCTGACGGTGGCCTGCTCTTCCTGGACTCCCAGAAGAAGACTCCTACGACAGTTTTGGGGAGCCCTCGTACCCCGATGTCTTTGAGCCCTCTCTGCCCGGCTACCCTGGGGAGGAGCTGGAGGAAGAGGAGGAAAGTAAGGTGCCACGTTCGGGTGGTGTGCTGCGGGGTAGGGTGGGGCTCCCCGAAGTCTGGGTGGAGGAGCAGCAAGGGGAGAAGCGTTTCCGGCAGAGGTGACTTTCTGAATCCTGAGGGGGACCCAGCAGAGCCAGCTGGTGCTAGGCTGGGCCTCTTCAGCACTGAGACTGCACTGAGGACATAAAGGAGACTGGGGGGCTCCAGGAGAGTGGGGGATGGGGCTCCTGCCTGCTCAGAGGGCTTAGCCAGTGTCCCAAGTCCGTGAGTTCTGGCTGAGCACTGGAGGTGGCGGGGCATCTCCTGCTGTGTTAGTCACTTTTCTCTCGTTGCTGAGACAAAATACCTGACACTCAAAGGAGGAAAGGTTTATTTAGCTCACAGTTTTTAGAGGTTTCAGTCCATAATCGGCTGGCTCCAAGGCAGGGGCACACGTGGCCCAGGGCCAACAGTTGATGGCGATAGAAGACAGCAGAAGCTGCCCCTTCCACCTTATTCAGCTGGTTAGGCGGGCAGCACTCACGCCCTTAATCCTAGTGCCCTCGGGCCTAGCACTGCGCCCTGCTTCAGTCACACACTCCAGATGCAGCCACCTCTGAGAAAGCTCCACCTCATGCCCATGAGGCTTTGGGGGACACTAGACACAGGCTGCAGCACCCCTAGGAGCAGAGCCTGAGAAGCAAAGGCAGAGGGAGCTGCCGGGCCCTGGGCCTCCAGGTGGAGGAGGGGGCTCAGGTGGACCTCAGGAGCGGGGCTGCACCCCCTAGAGACCCCTGGTCGTCACCCATCAGATGTTGTCCTCGTCCTGTGGGCAAGAAGGGCTCATCCCCCCGTCCCCCATCAGCCACAGACCCCGGGCGTCTGCAGGACTCTGCGCCCCTGGCCAGCTGCCCACAAATCTGGGCAGCCAAGAGCTTGCTTGAATGAGTTGGGCTCCCTGGCTGGGTGGCGCGGCCGGGCCACGGCTGTGGGACAGGCTGTCGGGAGGCCACTGCCAGACCTCAGGGTTCTTCCCTGGTGCTGGTGGGGAACCTGTGAGCAGAGCCACTTTCTGGGCCTGGACTCTTCCCCTGTCCCTTGGTGAGAGGAGCTGAGAGCAGACGGGACAGAGCCTTTGTTGGTGTGGGGACTTGGAGCCAGCGGCTCCCTCACCAGCTGGGGAGGACCGAGGCCCTGCAGGACACCCCAGTGGACCTGGGTCACCAAGAGTCAGCCAAGTACAGGAGGAGGAGCCGACCCTGGGTCCATGTTGTCCAGGCTGCGGCCCAAGAGGAGCAGCCGGCAGTTTCACAGATAGAGGGGAGGGTGCTGGGAGAGGACCCTGAGGAGGACCCGGAGGGCACAGGGACAGACAGAGGCCCCGGGGGCTGCCAGTGTCCCTGTGGGGGCTTGACCGGAGCCCCTGGTGCCTCTGGATTCGCAGTGTGGCCTGGTCCGGACCGCAAGGGAAGCGTGGTGGGAAGAGGAAAGAGCAAGTGGGGGCTGGGGCAGCGGGCGGGCGCGGGGGTCTGGTGATCTGCCCGGCACCACAGCGTCCTCTTTCTTCAGGGCCGCTGCTCTCCATAAACCGAACCGGAAGGCCTTCGAGACCTCAGCTTCCCTACCGATAATGGGCGAACTAATCCCCAGTGACATTTTTCTTATTTTATGGGGAAACAGCCTCCAGAAGGCCCCGTCCCATTATTATCCGAGTCCTTGCAGGGAGTGAAACCGCACCTCCTAAGTGCCTGCAGTTCACCTTGGCCTGGGCCACACGCGCCCGCTGGCTGGCAGCGTGTGTTTATTTGCTCCCCGCTGAGCACGTGGCGCCGGCTCCTCCTGAACTGCAGAGTGGCCGGGGCTTCTCGCCCAGGTCCTAGGTGACCCAGGCCTGGGTCCCCACCTCCCCTTGTGGCTGCCTTTCAGAGCTGCCTACCTGTGCCCCCGTGGGTGTGGCTGCTGCTTGAGTCCCAGGCCCAGGGGCCCCCTTGGCCGGGCTTCCTTGGTGGTGTCCCCTGTCCTTCGCCTCCTGTTTTCTCCCCGCTTCCTGTTGGCTCCGGGACTGACCCCGGGCCTCTGCCTCCCCACAGGGGGTGTGAAGCTCGGCCTGGGTGATTTCATCTTCTACAGCGTGCTGGTGGGCAAGGCGGCAGCCGCGGGCAGTGGGGACTGGAACACCACCCTCGCCTGCTTCGTCGCCATCCTCATCGTGAGTGTGGGGTCCCCTGGGGGTCTCCAGCTGCTGTCTTCCCTCTGAGGGGACCTCGGTGCCGGGGCCCGGCCGAGGCTTTGTGGGTTTGTCCTGTGACACCTGGTGCTTGCTTCTGTGACTCTTGAGATTTGCAGAGGGGAAGCGGTTTAAGGGCCACAGGCACAGAGCTAGCCCAGGGAGGACGCCGCTCCCGTTCCGGAGCTGCTGATCCTCTTCAGGCCACGGGGTGTGCAGGCGCTGAGCCCAGGAGCCTGCCGGGGCTCGAGTGGGTCTGGCAGTGCCATCTGGCCCAATGCAGTCCTGGGGAGGGGCCATCCTAAGCTGTCACCGTGCAGAGGCTTCCATTTAGATGAGAGAAGAGGCGGAGTCTCGTGCACGGGACGCACTTGCTGGAGCACCAGGATGTCACGCAGGGCTCGTGGTGAAGGCTGGTGCCCCATGTGTGTCAGGGAGGGCATCGTGGGCCCCAGACGCCTCCCCTCCACTGGCCTCAAGGTCAGGAAGGCATTCTGGCTCCCTGTCCTCACCCTGGATGCCTGGGGCAGGGGCAGCCAGGCCCACGAGGGGACAGGTCACACTGCACCAGTGGTTCCCTTCATGTGGCCCACTGAGATCCTCGCTGGTGTCTCAGACCGTTTTCTCTCATCGTGCCTTTGGGGAGTCCTGTGGGACTGTTGTCCCCAGCAGTGACCAGATAGGAGTCCAGTCCTCGAGACCTGTGCCCAGGACCAGGCCAGCACGCGTCCCTGTCCACACGGTGGTCACCGGCGTCCCTCCCCTTGGTGTCTGCAGGGCTTGTGTCTGACCCTCCTGCTGCTCGCCGTGTTCAAGAAAGCGCTGCCCGCGCTGCCCATCTCCATCACCTTCGGGCTCATCTTCTACTTCTCCACCGACAACCTGGTGCGCCCCTTCATGGACACCCTGGCCTCCCACCAGCTCTACATCTGACGGGCTGGGGCCCGGCCGCAGCCTGGGACAGCCTCACGGGACGCAGCTGTATAGTTTTACACTCTAGTGCCATATATTTTTAAGACTTTTCTTTCCTTAAAAAGATAAAAAGATACTGTGTTTACTTCGTGACAAGGAAGTAGAAGCCGCTTTTGGTGCTAGCTGTTCTGCCACCAGACTCTGCCTCACTCGCGTGTGCGCCTTGTGTCACTGACAGGACACAGCAAGCTCATCCTTGTGAACTGGGAAGGTCGCATGGTGTGGGGGCCTGGAGCAGGACGCCTGTCCCCCTCCTGTCAAGGACTGGAAACCTCAAGGGCACAGGAGGGAAAAGCCCCAGGCACCGGCTCGCTCTGGCCGAGAACAAAAGCCAGGTCCCCGTCAGGCGCGGGCCCAGTGCTTTCTCTGTGGTGTCCTTGTTATTTTATTACCTGTAGAAACTGAGTCCTGTACTTCCTTCCTGCTGGGACGTGGCTTCCTGTGAACATCAATAAATCGATGCCTCCAGTCGCGATGCTGGCAGTGGCTCTGTCTGTCCGGGTGTGCGCTCCCTGGGACTCCCAGGCTCTCCTGGGAATGTGTGCCCTGGGCACGGGAGGGGAAGGGGAGAAGCTCCCGCCGGCCTCCCTCATTTCTTCAGTCACAGCCTCCTAGGCTGAGCGGAGTGGAGTGTGGCTGGGAGGCTTCATGGCCAGGGCTCGGTGGTGCGGGCTGGGGCCCGAGCAGAGCAGGTCCCGGCCTCAGTCCCGCAGCGCAAGGTGATCCCAAGCAGTCCTTCAGGCCAGGTCGGTCCCCAGCAGGAACCCACTGAGAAAGCCGCTCCCCTCTGGCGTCACCCGGGCACGGTGGAGAGGAGAGGACAGGGAGGCTCTGCCCTTCGGCTGACAGCAGACACGGGTGCCCGTCGGGACGGCTCTGGTGGGGACCCAGGCCTGTGACACGCGGAGCGGACTTCTCTCTTCCTGGCACTGCTGAGAAGATGCAGGTGTGTGTTTGTTGTTCAGATGCAAGTGCTGTGGAGAAGTAAACGGATGCTGCCTCAGGGTGTGGGACGGGCGCTCTCTCTGCCCTGTGCTGTCCCTGCCAGGGAACTAGGAAGGGAGCGGGAGGGAGGGGCAGGAGGCCTTGCGCTGCTGGCCCTGGGCAGCGGCTCTCAGTGCTGACAGCCGGCTGATGACAGAGTCAGCAGCCAGGGGTGGCAGCGTGGGTCACACAGTCAAAGCAGAGCGGCTAAAGAGGCGAGGGTGGCCCTTGAGGATAACAGCTCTCAGGAGGGTGGGAAAAGCCGTGAAAGGTCCACTGCATACGTGATCGTGGCGGTGTTTATCCTGGAAAGGGTCAGGGCATGGTTCCTACACATTCCGCCAGGTAGATATTCTGATTCTCACAGGTTGAAGAGGACTTGGTGCAAGGCCTGGCCATGGGCTTCGGGTGGGAGGTAAAGCAGGGCACGGAGGCCCGGTGGCCAAGGCTCAAGTGTGAGGGCCGGGAACAAACATGCAAGGGGCCTGGAGGGGAGACGCCGAAGAGATTCGGCCTTGGGGACCCAGGGCACAAGCAGACGGGGGAACGCAGGACATCACCAGGAGGGAGGAGGAGTGTACAAGATAGAACTCGGGGATCCTGACACAAGCAGAGTAGGAGTGTAAACCCTCGACTCCCCGTGTAAGCAGTCCGCTGCTTTAATGCCTTCCCATGTTTGCCGAAGATTTGCTCTTAGAAATAAAACTTCTGGGTTCTGGAGTCCCATGTATGACCCTCCGATCTGTTGCCTTCCTCACCGACAGAACCCGGGGTGCCCAAGTGGCCCTGTAGTTAGTGTTGCTCATCTCCCAGACCCCAGTGCACTGTGGGAACACGCCTCAGTCCTGATCAGTGAGAGGGAAGCGGAAATCTGGCGGGTCTTCCCGAAAAGCTATTTCCTTTCAGAGATGCCCAGTTGGTGGTGATGTCTCCTCCTTTTTTCTGCCTGTGTGGGACACAGATGTGACACTTGGAGGTGTCACAGCCACTTTGTGACCAAGAGGATAAATGCCACAGGCAAAGCACACATAGCTGCAAGGAGGTTGGGGGCTTAATGACTTCCTTGAGCAGCGGCCCTCACTGCCCAAAGGCTTCTTGTTGTGTATAAAGATAAACCCCTCTGTACTCAGGTTTCTGGGACATGCAGTCAGTGCAGTCTAATTTCTAGTGTACTGTTGCTCCACACCCTGCTCACGTGAAAGCTCTTCCACTGCTGTCTCTCATTTACTTCTTTTCCACCAACTGGTGACCAGCACTGGCTGCGGAGTGGCTGCTCCTCTTGGGTGCAGTGGTGACCAGGCCCCAGGTGGCCCAGGTGGGGCTGCACAGGGCTCTCAGGTGAGCCGTCTCTCTCGACTGGGTTTGGTTTTTTGTTTTGTTTCTTGAGATAAAACCTCACTATGTAGCCCAGGCCGGCCTTCAACTCCTGGTGATCCTCCCGAGTCCTGGGGTCACAGGTGTGCGCCCGGCTTGTAGGACTGACTTTTGAATCACTTTTAAAGCAACAGAGCACATGTCCCAGCTCTAGAGGGTTCAGTAATCCCAGTGGAAGTCAAGGAAGGAGTTCGGTGCTATCACCTCCATCCAAGAGAGCACACGATCTGAAAAACTCCTCCTCGAACATCAGGTTCCCAGCACACGGCAGACATGCGCTCGGCTTTGCGCTTACCTGAGACCACACTGTTTTTCGAGGGCTTCATCCCCGAGAAGAGATGGTGAGCTCCTCTTTTCTGCTCATGTTTTCTTTGTCTGTTGAGAAAAAAATCAGAATGAAGACCAGATCACTTGTACGAGGAGCAGATGCTGATTTTTCAATCCCATTCAACAAGTTTCGTATTCGCTATCAAGGACACTACAATTTCATCATGGCCCTAAAACGACAGTATGTAAAATAGAGTAAATGTAAAAAGGGGGTATAGGTAGTACTTTTCATGGTCGCAGAATAAAGAGACCAAAGGTCACTGCAGTGTCTGGGGAAAGCACCTTCACACCACTAGTGTTGCTTCTCCTGAGTCAGGTCCAGTGCTGGAGGCCAGCACGGATGGTCTCATTCAGATGCACAAGACCAGAAGGTTAGGTCCCACTGTAGTCCATGGGCAGGATGGGCCCAAATGGTGTCGGAGAAAGAACAGACTGACAGAGGTCAAATAGATGGGAGGAAAGCCAGTTAAAGCTAAATGACTGGTGACTAGAGCTTAAACATGGAATCAACCTCACGATTTCATCTTAAATGTAAGTATTTAAACATTTGGGAATCCCTCCTTCAAAGTAGATCTATTTCTGTAATGTAAGCATTTTTTTCCTTTTTAAAGTGATATATAAATATAAGATACCTGGATCGATATCAGAAAATGGACCGATTCTCCTGCTCCCAATAGCCAAAACCAATATTGGCAAAATGCCCATACTCCCCAAACTGACAGATTTATGGTACTGGGAGGCTGAAGCAGGAGGATCTCAAATTCAAACTCAGCCTGTGAAACTTGGCAACTAAGTGAGACCCTGTTCAAAATAAAAAAGGACTGGGGATGTAGCTCAGTTTATGGGCCACATTTGTATTTTGCAACCTCTGGCTTATTTCATACAGTTTCTTATTTGTTTTAGAAAACAAGATAATTTTAAGTTTATGAAAACTTTTTTCATGTTTTTCTTTTTGTAGTACTAGGAATTGAATCCTGGGCTGTGGTTAACAAAACTTTTGCCAGTGTAGAAGTGCGACATGAAGCTGGCCATAGTGTCTTGTGCCATAATCCCAGCTAATAGGGAGGCTGAGGCAGGAGGATTGCAAGTTTAGTTTTAGCCTGAGCAATTCAGTGAGAAAGTCTCAAAAGATAAAAAGGCTGGGGATGTAGCTCAGTGGTAGCATGACCTTAGTCCAAAACAAAACAAAAACATAACAAAAGATGTCCAAGCTATATCATGAAAAAGACAACTGAACAATGCACTGAATGTACTGTAACTATTGGAAATGTAAATTTACACATACATGTGAGCCTATGTTGGTCTGAGGTTTTTTTTTTTTTTGGTACGGGGATCAAACTCAGGACCTTGCACTGCAAGGCAGGATGGTCTGAGTATTTTTTAAATTGGAATTGATTTTTAATTGATAAAGTTATACAGTGGACCCTTGATTTACGAACTCAATTCATTTGTGAGGCCTGGTTGTAACTCAGGTTGGTCAGTTGAAGGCTCAGGCTCCTCCACACAGCCTTCACAGTCTCTCCTGTACACAGGCGGATCTCAGTGTCCTTAGAGAGACACTGGCCCAGGATTTCTCTGTCAACTGCACACAGGAAAGGAAGCTGTCATGTTCCTTCCAGAACTCTCTAAGGGTGGAATCTGTATCTGAGACCATCTGGAAACACAAGCAGCCAGCATTCAGGTTATAACTCGATACTTTGGTCATAAGTTAAAATTAAAATTCTGGTTGTAACCCAAGTTGTTGGTATGTCAGGCTGGTCGTGAACTTATAGTGCATTAGTCATAATGCACTTATACATTAATGATTATTAACAGTTACATATGTTAGGGGTCGGGGATTTAGCTCAGTGGCACTGTGCCTGCCTCGAAAGCGCAAGGTCCTGAGTTCAATCTCCGGTACCAAAAATAAATAAGTAAATAAATAATAAAGTTCATCAAATTGAATGAGATCTTTCCCCAGTACACACAATATACTCACAAATTTCACGTGTGCAATTTGGAGAATTCTAGTTTAGGGGGAGGTGAGGAAAGGAGAGAAAAGGCCAAGCGACTGATGCCACCTTCCCCGCCCTGGGCAGAGGACAGGCGCAGTGCGACCTCCGCCCTCTCGGGAGTTCAGACTCTGCTCTTGGGAAGAATTCTCGAAGCTGTTACCTCAGGGGCATAACACTGTGTTGTGTAATTGTCTTGTTTTCTCTCTATTCATCCAGCAATGAGACCATTGTCACCTGGCTTCTCAAATGAAGTGCTTTCCAGGGAGAGAATGTGATGATCCCGTGGGTCATTTGGTGGCTATTTTATTATTATTTTTTGGTACCAGGGATCGAACTCTGGTCCTTGCGCTTACGCAGCAGGCGGCGAAACCACTGAGCTAAATCCCCGGCCCTATTTTATTATTTTTTAAAAGACAGATTCTTGCTATGTAGCCTATGCTGGCCTCAAACTCAAAATCCTTACTAATACTGAAGTTGTGCGAGAGCAGGGGTGTGAGGTTTTCAGTTCGTCAATGGGCTTCGGTCCCGCGCAGATGCCGGCACCAGCAGAGCCAGGACCAGGGGGGCGTCCGGGGTCCGCCCTAGGTATGGCTCCAACGGCGCCCCCTGGCGCAGGCTGACGCGAAGCTCAGGGCTGCCTCGGGCATTAAGGGAGTCAGGTCCCCTCCTCCACGGCGCCTCTCTCAGCTTCCTGTGCTATGAGGTTGGAGTTTCAAGGACTCGCTGCCACCTCGTGGCCAGCATCAGTAGCGCACCTGAGACAGATTTCGGCCTCCCTGAGGAGCCAAAGAACAGC